CCGGCGGCCGATCGGCACGCACTGGGGGCGACCGCCCCCAGCCGGTCCGGCCCCCCACCCCGCTGCAGGTGGGCGCGAGGACCCCGCTCGCGCCGGGACCCCGAAGGTGCGTTGGCCCCTCGTTCTACCCAAGCCGGGCCTGGGAGACACTAATAGCTCCAGACTTGACCGTGCAGGGAGCCTGGAGAACCCAGCGAGCACACAACTGGAAATTATTAATAGCTAATGCGCTTTGCATGGCTCCAGCCGCCTGCTGGCTCCGCAGGGCGGGCTCTGGCTCTCGAGTCCGTCCCGGAGGAAACGACTACTTCGTTCCTCCCCGGGGGCTTCTGGACGCGCGATCGCTCCCTGTAGGGGCAGCCCAGATGAACAGCCCACAACAGGCAGGGAAGTTCTGCCTTGGGCACCGACTCTGCCCCGGGGCGGCAGAGCTTTGGAGTCTGCGTTTCCTGGGGCTGGAGAGAATCCCCTCTGAAAAACTGGAGACTTTATCGCTCCCCTCTGGTTTGACAGAGCAGCCTTGTGCTGAGTGGGAGGTCATTTCAGTAGCTGGCGGCCAGAAGGCTGGACCGTTCCCAAATCCAGTACGTTTTCTCACGGATCTCCTCGACCATCCGCCAGTACAGGCAATCCCCACCCCCGCCAGCCACCCTACCTAGGGTTCTGATGAGTGTTCAGCTAAGGGCCCGGCCTGAAGGCTCCCCAAGTCCTACAGCAGGTGCCAGTTCTGCTGGCACAGTTCAGCCCTCCTGAAGTTTAGAGTAAGGAAACAAAGAGGTCTGAGGGGCCCATTCACATGGCTGGTACAAGGCAGCTCAGCGTGCACAGAATGCCAGGATCATCCCACCCACAGAGAACGAGACTTGGGGCATGCCCAGTGCTGGACGGTCGTTCATTTCCAGCTTGTAGGGCTAGATTACAAAATCTATCCTGGTGAAGCTTTGGGGGGGGCGCCACACCTAAAGGGGGTGGGGCAAACTATTGATATCATGGTCACCCCCCCCCCCTTAGCTTCCCTATCAGTGTCATTCCTGGGGCTAGATGCCTCTTTAAATATCTCTGATTTTTTTTTTTTTAAGATAACACCAGGGCATATGCCAGATAGAAATGAAGAGGGGAAAAAGTACCCCCAAAGGGTGTGCAATCCCTTCTCTATTTCTCCATCCTGTCAGGACTTGGGGCACAAACACACACCCAATGTGTTTTTCGAGATACTGGGGCCAGGACTCAAATGCGTGATCAGACACGTGGGGTCCTGCTCCCCTTGACCACTACGGACCTGGCCCAAGCCCACCTGGCTTCTGGCGTGTCTGTGCTGAGCGTGCCTATGAGGACAGAGGCCATGGCAGGTGCCCTCTCCTGGGTCCTGCATGACCGGTTAGTGCTGCTACAGCCCACCTACTGCTCCTATCATCTGCCCAGCCCAGGCCGCCCCCCACCCCAGGCATCAGGAGAGGCTTTTTGAGGTTGTGGAAAGGCTGTCTGTGGGCAGTGGGAGGCCTCGGCTCCCTGGAGGGAATTTGCTCACCATGCATTCCCAGGTAGATTCTGGCCAGATTGGAAAGGTGTTCTGGAAAATGGCAATTGCTCCAAGGAGACTGCAGCCTTCAAGGTCATCAGCCTGGAAGAGATGGAGGACAAGACTGAGGAAGCTCAGCGTCATTGGCCAGTGCAGCCACTCTCCACCAAAGTGTGGACTGTGTGGAGAGCGTGGGCGGTCCCTCACCTGGCCCTGCAACACCCAGAGCCTGGGAGGAGCCTAGGAGAAGCCTAGGGTGGCCAGATCCTGACAGAAGATCCATGAAGACATCAAAGCTGCCTGTTTATGTGAGGGTAGGAAGTGGCCAGCTCT